CTCAATGTGATTTGAAATCTGACGAGGAATGAGGTGGAGGCAATGGATTATCTCTAAGTTAGCCGAGTGATACTTGGACCTGTTTCGTGTGAACCCCGCATGATGCTGACGGGAGACAGCTGTTATTTTATTTGAACAAGCCATCACCACCGGGAAACCTGGTTATCCTAAAGAAGTGTAAATTGTCTCTCACATGATCTATGTACGTCACACCTGTCAATCCCGAGTCTTGTTGCCCGTCTGGACAATAACAGAAAATGACATACACCATTACAAAGCCGCCACCCACAGCTTGCGCAATGATTCTGCTGACAGGCTGGATCAATAGCCTCATTCGGTCTCCTTTATACACGAACTCAACCGTCAGCCCAAAGAGCTGGAAACGTGATTCGTTTAAGCAGTCTTCCCAATGGTCTCTCGGCCGATGAGGCGCAATACTTGATACCAGTAATATTATCCTTTTGATCGACGTTTACTAAACAACGTGGAATGCAGTGTAAAACAGGGTGTTGATTGGTGGATTGAGCAGCAACTGTATTAAATTGGGACGAGATTTCAGTGCAGTATTTCTCTACGATGGATTCTTACAAGCCAGTCACCGCCGGTCTCATTACTGTATCGCCGGAGATCGCCTCCCGATTTCCCCTGCTGATGGTCTCTGTCCAGAATTCAAATATTCCTGCAACAGCCTTGCTACTGTTACCCAAGGAAAGTTTAGACGCTTAACCCCTTAAAGATAAAGTGCTCCATTTTCCAGACTCCGTTAAACATTCTACTGTCAAATGGAAGTCCTATCTCCTATGGTAACCACTATTACCTATTCCCTTTTTTTGTGTGTGGAAAGGAAACGTATTTCCCACTCTGCAGAATCTATCTCACAGAGCCAACGTTACAACCCTGTCACTACTTCAAAGGCAAATGTTCAGCTGAGCTCCATTCTTAAATTCCACCAGTTTATACTTTTACAGTTAGGACACGTCAGTCCACGGAGCCGAATCACCTCCATCTCCACCGTGTTCCAAATGTAAGAAAGAAGTTCCACTCAGCTCTTCACCTACCAAGAACTGTTCTTTTGTGGGGCAGTTCCTGCATGGTTGCATCCTTGAACAGTTCAACCATGAACTTTTAAAGTCAAGGTAAAATCGTCATCTTTCTTCCTAATTCTCATAATCTTCATTTCCTATCACGTTTTCCACCATTCATATCACACACCTCATTCTTCATGACTGTTTTAACTTTAACCCTCTACCTTGAGTGAGTCACTGGCCTTGTATTGAGCGAAATTTAGTAATTTAAAAAAAAAATCAAATATACATCCAGCTATGAGAATGCTATCTCAAGTAAAAACATCTTCAAATTCTCAAATGCTGGTTCTTTTGCTTAAGAGACGCAAACAAACAAGAATTCTTGAAAAATATATTTGGGAATATAATTCAATACTCTCCTTTTTTTTTTCTTTTTCTTTTGCTGGTTGTTCCAAAGAGATGGTAATATTAAATTATGTAGGCGTATATTTTCAAGGGTAGGGATATTATTTTAAAGAAATTGTTCTTCGTTTACTTAGAAAAATCCAATAGATAACACAGGTCGATGGGTAATTCCCCCACCCCTTTTTATGATATTCAATGTTAAATTAAAGTTTTGCAAAAATTCTTTAACCAATATCTTTATGAGAGTTTCAGAAATACACCATTTTAATATGAAAAGAGAGTAGGGAATTATTTCGTCAAACATATTTTTTATGAATTATTAGTTGTTTGTCTATTCTAAAGCAACCAATGATGTTTGGTTTGTGTTACGAAAAATGGAATTGGTGAACCGAATTCAAATTCCAGCCTAACCTGATGCACTTACTTTCACAGTAATACCCTTGTGAACAGCAAGAATTTTCTGTACCTTGTTATAGATTAAATAGTAGGGTATACTGGGCTCTTTAACGTTGGATAGCAGCCAGTCTACAAGATGAAGTACTTTGAATTTCAAACCGTGGAGAAAACAACGTGAAAACCAATTCACTATGTTTTCGAAGAAGTCATGTCAGTTTTCAGATAAAGAAAAAGGTGTATGTAGGAAGACATGGTCGCCTATGTCCTGATAAGACATGGTATTTAAAAGAATAGAAAGATAAGGCAACGAAGTAATCATCACTAATGATTTTGAAGACGCCTTAAAATATTGCATGGCCGCTTTTTTCATATTCCATAAAATAAGGGTAAATTAATGTTTAAAAATCAAAACTAAAAATAGGATGAAAACACGTCAGATGAAACTTTCGAATATTATCAAAATTAAATAGATTGGTTTAAATAACAAGAAGTAACCTTCCGATTAAATCAGCCATAATGAGATTCGACCCAGGTTTTCATGGTCTTCCACTCAGCAACGCGCATATATATATATATATATATATATATATATATATATATATATATATATATATCATTATTATATATAAAAAAAACGTTGATAGCTTGCCAACAGACTTAAAAGCCTGATCCAGATGAAGTCTCGAACAAAAACGGCAATACTGAAAAAAGAAAAAAGCCTAAAGACAAACCTATCTACTCAGTAAAGTGCTCAAGCGTAGACTGCATAGACAGAGCAAAATACGCCTGACAACGTTAACTTCTAGCCTTAGTTGTAACCCGAGTTTCACGCTCACGCGATCTTCAAACAACTTGAACACCGTATACACACACGCATATATATATATATATATATATATATATATAAAGAACAAATAGGAAACATATATCAATCTAAAATGGTAAGGTTGTGAAGATTCGTGTATGTCTAAGCAGGTATTGTATGGTAATGGTTATTCGTAATTGGGTATGTGTGTCTTTCTAGTGGGAATTCTAATGTCAGACAGCACCACGTGGTGACACCTCATTCTAATTTAATTCTGATCTCTTTAAGCACGGATTCTTTGTATGAAATAGGTATCTTCAAAAGCCTGCGTACATACTGAATTATTTATGATTTTAATGAACGTAACAAATGACTGACCAATGAGAACTGAGGACCCCCCACCCACCCACAAAAAAAATTGAAAATACACGATTTTCTCTTTTTGTCGGTTTTCTTTCAATTTCTAATGAAGCTTTTTCCTATTTGTTCTTTATTTTATCATCTTGTCGAATTACGATCCATATTTAATCTTTAACTCATATATATATATATATATATATATATATATATATATATATATATATATACATATAAATATAGATATCTAGACTCGTTTTCGAAAAACACTCGAATTTTTGATTTGCTAATCAAATCAATCTCGAGGGAAAAAAGGTTTTAAAAAAGAAAGAGCTACAAACATGGACTTCTGCTGACAAAAATCGCACAGATGCAGGTCTGAAGCCCAAAGAAAAAAAACCCGATACGAGTAACAACTAACTAACAAAAGAGCTCAATACAACCGCAGAGCAGACCTAGATACACCTAGTGAGCCAGACAAACCTACCTAGGTTTCACCTAAACGGATCGTCAGGAAAGTTTGGCCAAACTTTCCCTGACGATCCGTTTAGGTGAAACCTAAATGTATGTTTGTCTGCCTCACTAGGTGTATCTCTCTCTCTCTCTCTATATATATATATATATATATATATATATATATATATATATATATATATATATATATATATATATATAATATGTTGTAGTGGTTCCAACGAGAGAAAAAGTATGTATATTAAAAAGAAGAGAAGAGAAGTGCCGCAAACGTTTTTGGTTGTAATGTGGATTTATTTAGAAAAAATATTATGCTTTGTTTTACATGATTTTACGACACGGGTTTCTGGTCTCGCGACCGTCTTCAGGTAAAAGTGGAGATTTCCACATATTATTAAAAATAATTAATTTTTCTTCATGTTCAATGTGAAATATTCTCGATATGAGACATTCTCTGTTTGTGTGTTGGTAATCCGAAGGATTGGTGTATACGGAATAAATTTCAATAACCAACAATTACTATTCTTAAAATTTTATAATTTTAAATAAATAATTATATATATATATATATATATATATATATATATATATATATATATATATATATATACGTGTATGTGTGTGTTGTGTTTTTGTTTTTGTGTGTGTATATATATGTATGTGTATCGTTTTGTATATATATATATATATATATATATATATATATATATATATATATATATATATATATATGTGTGTGTGTGTGCGTGTATTGTGTGTTAGATTTTTTGTGTATATATATATGTGTGTGTCTACGTGTGTATGTCTTTATAGTGTCTTTTCGTTTTTGTATATATATGTGTGTGTGTCCATGTGTGTATATTGTGTTTTTGCTTTTGTGTATATGTGTGTGTATTATGTTTTCCTTTTTTGTGTGTATATATCTATGCGTGTGTGTATGTGTGTGTTGTGCCTTCGTTAATATATATATATATGTATGTGTGTGCGTGTGTGTGTATTTTTTGTGTGTGCGTACAAAAAGGAAAACACAGAAACATGGATAGATACATTAGCTATTTTAAACAAAGATTAAGCAGATATTTGTAGCATTTTTAAATGTTTGAAAAAAAAAGACAGTCAGTAGGGCGGCCACTTTAATCCGATACACTGAATCCTTTGACGTGTAAACAAACACCTATAATCACAAATAGCTGCACAAAACACACGCGTGTGTATATATATATGTATGTAATCGGGGTTAATGTTTGACAAAAAAGCCTCAAACAGTCCAATAAACTCCCGATTCCATTATTCCTTATTAAACTCTGGGACTTTGCCCTTTTACCGAAGTCTTTCTAATTGCCCTAACATTTTTGGGCATTCCTCTGAAAAGAGGGAATCAGCAACCACTATAGGGGGGCTCAAGTGACCTTTTGATGAAATGGAACGCCATTTTGGATTGTTTGTCGTCGATATGGCCGACATGATTCACTGAAACGCTCCTCGTTGCTGGGGAAAATGTCAGAAATCACCGGCACGGGTGACCATAATCTAAGTCGATGTTTGTTCACGAGTCTGTGTTAATACGTCTAACACGCAAACTTTCTCTGTCTCTCTTCGTCCCTCCCCCTCTCTGTCTCTCTCTCACTCTCTCTCCCTTTTTCAATCTCTCTCTTTCTCTCTCTCTTTCTCTCTCTATATATGTTTAACCCCTCTTTTTCTTTCTCTCTCTTTATATATCTATCTATTTCTCCTCCCTCTCTCTCTCTTTCTCTCTAGGTTTATGAGTTTGTATGCGTTTGCAGTAGATGTGTTTTTGGTTCTTGAATGTAACTGAATGTTCGCATTCACATGCTCGTTTAAATGTGTATGTGTCCTTACTTCCTCTTTTTCTGTGTGTGTGCGTGTTTGTGTGTGAGTGTGTGTGTGTGTGACTCTTTATAGACCTGTGAGCAGAAAAGAATAAACTTTCATCTATCTACTTATCTATCTGTCTATGTAATTCTCTCCCTTTCTGTCTGTATCTCTCTCTCTCCGTCTCTCTCTGCTGTCTCTGTCTGTCTGTCTGTCTGTCTGTCTCTCTCTCTCTCTCTCCATATATATATATATATATATATATATATATATATATATATATATATATTGCGGATACCAAAATCCGTTCCTCAGAGTTTCATATAGCACACTCATCAGAAGATTGTTTCTACAATTTGTTATATATATATATATATACATATATAACAGAATTTTATATATATATATATATATATATGTATATAAATTCTGTTATATATGTTTTTCTCGTGGGCTAATTTTGTTTCGGATGACTGTCTTTCTTTGGCGCGTACATTATTTTCGGTAGTAGAATTTAAAATTTGAACAAAAGTATCTCGGCTCGATCAATATACATCTCTCGTTAAACATCCAAATACAAGTGTGCATTCTTGTTAGCTTTCTGTGTGTTTGTATATGTGAGTTAACTGCGTACAAGTATGTATTGTTTGCTTCCAATTGGTGAATCCCGATATGGAATCATGCACATCTATCTCAGGGAGAATATTGTACAACCATTTCATGGAAATCATATACAACAAGCTACCTGGAGTCTTGTACAACCTGTTCACAAGGATCTACCTCACCTATCTCACACATTTATCACGAGAATCTTATCCACCCATCTCACGGGAATCTTGAACAACCAGCTCACGGAAACCTTAAACAAAGACTCCTCAGTAATTATGCACACCCATATATATCGTGAATCTTAAACACCCAGTTCTCGGTATTAATGCACAGCCGTCTCCGGAGAATCTTGTACATTCATCTCACAGGAACCATGTACACCGTTTTCACGGAAATCTTGAGTCCTCGGGAATCCTGCACACCCAGTTCATGTGAATTTTGAACACCCAGGTGTCGTTATGAATACACACTTGTCATAGGAGAATTTTGTACAAACATGTCACGGAAATCGTGAACAAACAGCTTACAGGAATCTTGTACATCGTCATCACATGAATCTATCACACCTATCTCAAGAATCATGTATACACGTCTCACGGGAATCTTGCATACCCATATCGCTGGAATCCAGCACATCGAGCTTACTGGAATCTTGTGCAGCTATATCAAGGGAATCTTGCACACCAAACTCAAGGTTATTGCAGAAATCATTCAGTCAAAAAGGAAATGATTTTCCACAGTTAGACATGCACTGAGCTTGTTTTGTTTGTTTGTTTTTGTTTTCTTTTACTAATCTGAGCCTTGTTTTGCTCATATCCTTCATACTTCGATGAACACAACAATATTTAGCTCTTCAGGTCAAGGGGCAATCCTTATGTATCCATCTTATCCCCATAATCTTCACTTCATATCACAGGTTATATTATAATAATCCTTTATCCGAAATTCCAAAATCTGAAAACTCCCCATATCCGGAGGTTTTTCAGGTGCTGACATGTCTTACCACAAACGGAAAATTTCAGAAACCCCAGCTAAGTAACCTACGTTGGCGCCATTTTTTTGTTAGCGATTATTCGTGGATTACTTAGCTGTTTCGTGCTCAGTAAAGCTAGTATTTAAAATGTCAAAATTTTTTACATTAATATATATATATATATATATATATATATATATATATATATATATATATATATATATATATTGTAAGTAGTGATCATGTTCTTTAGTACATGTACAGATAGTACAAAACATTGTTTTTACATGGACTCTGAATTTCACCACTTATATTACCTGTATCTGTATGTCCACCAAACTTATTAAATTTTATGTAAAAGTACTATCAGGGTATATGTTATTTATATAAAACTGCCTCAAGGTATATGTATAAGTTGTACTATGAAGTGTACAGTGATATCGTGTTTATGCTTGGGTTCCATTTTATAGATGCTATATAAAATTAAATAGTCAGTACACTAGAATCCGAAACAAAATCTGAAAGCCGAAGCACTTCCGGTCCAAATAATTTCGAATGAAGCATTCTCAACCTGTATATCCTTTTTCACTCATATCTCGCCATATTCATCATAACCATTTTGGGATTATCTACCTACAATCAGCTGCTTTTGAGGCTTGTACTCGATAAAATTTAGTATATAATAATAATAATAATAATAATACTTGCTTACTAATTGATATGACTTGCCTAGCGGACAGTAACATATTAACTAAGGAATTAAAAATAAACTATCGAAGTATAAAACCTGGACATCGAAATAGAAAAAATGTGGAAATTGCAAACAAGAATAGTACCAGTCATAGTAGATGCGCTTGGAATTATAAAAAATGAACACAACACATTGAAAAAGTCCTTGGAAATCCGATCTTAAGAGAAATACAAAAAATTGTCTTGATACGTACAGCCTATATACTAAGAAGAACTTTCTCCATGTAACGCTTGTGATGTTATGGGAGTATAAAAAACAAATCAGGAAATGTAACCATAATAACACACTGCTGTCTGCCTTAGGTCTTCTGGAGACTTGGTAGGTAGCGTGTTCATAGCAGAAATCGAAGTAGTATAATAATAATAATAATAATAATAATAATAATAATAATAATAATAATAATAATAACAGAAGCCAAGAACCAACTATTGCAGCAAAAGATATGAAAAAGAAAGCCAAGGATAAAGCCCTTGAACAGATGAAACAACGCTGGCAAGACAAACCTCTGCATGGCCAATATCCAGAACGTGCAAATAAACCCAATGTTGATAAAGTTAATACTCATCGATGGTTACGAGCATCTGGATTAAAGTCTGAAACTGAAGGCTTTATTCTTGCAGCGCAAGACCAGAGTCTTTTCACTCGGAATTTTCAGGCAAATATCATACATAATAATGTGGATCCAAAATGCAGGTTCTGTGACAAATACCAAGAAACAATAGACCATCTAATCTCAGGATGTTCTATACTTGCCACAAATGAATATAAAATCGTCACGATAGAGTGGGGCAATACTTACACTGGACAATGTGCAAACACTTTGGAAAATGTGTAAGCAAACACTGGTATGAACATCGGCCAGCGCCGGTTACAGAAATAGAAGATGTCACCATTCTATGGGATTATACCATCCACACAGACAGAAAAATTGAAGCAAATAGGCCGGACATTATTGTCAAAAACCAGAAAGAAAAAAATCTTGCCTACTAATTGATATGGCTTGTCCAGCGGATTGTAACATAGCAACCAAGGAATTTGAAAAACTATCAAAATACAAAGACCTGAAATTGAAATAGAAAAATGTGGAAATTGAAAACAAGAATAATACCAGTGGTAATAGGTGCACTTGGAATTATAAAAATGGAACAAAACAACACATTGAAAGAATCCTGAAACCCCAGCTTAAGAGACATACAGAAAATTGTCTTATTAAGTACAGCACACACACTAAGGAGAACTTTGTCTATGTAACGCTAGCAACTTCATCGGAGATAAAAAAAAAAAAAAATTAACCTGAAATGTGGCCATAACAACACACCACGACCTGCCTTAGGTCTTTCCGCAGACTTGGTAGGTAGTGTGTCCATAGCAGAAATCGAATGATGATGATGATAATAATAATACCATCTGAGAGAAACACCTCCAAACTACAATCTGAGAGAAACACACCCATGAAAATTATCGAGAAATTGTCCAAATACAAGGACCTGGAGATCGAGATTAACAGGATGTGGAGAATGAAGACTGTGACTGTACCAATAGTAATCGGAGTTCTGGGCCTCGTGAGAAAAGGAATTGTCAATTTTACAATAACTTACAAGTTGCCAGAAAATCGCCCTATTAGGAACATCCAATATGCTAAGAAAAGTGCTATCAATTAAATGACAATTCTCCTATCGGACCTAACGACCATAGTTGTGGACCTGGCTCTACAGATACAAAGCAGGAAACATGACATAATAATAATAATAATAATAATAATAATAATAATAATAATAATAATAATGCAAATCACAGAATGAGTCGAGGCAAAAAGTGAAAGACTAAACGCACGAGACAGTGAATAAAGTGAGTTGTCAACATTCTACCACGATTTTATCTCGGTGTAGGCAATTAAGTTGTGCTGTGTGGCTTGGGAACTTGGCAAGTATATCGTCTGCAATTGATTCTTGCGGATCGATCTAATAAAACAGATTGATTAAAAAAAATCACCGACTGGTTGTTTGAGAAGTTTTAAAATCTGGTTTATTGCTATAAAACTCCCTCACATGATTTATTACGTTTTTGTGGCATATAAAGCTTTGAGTTATTGCTGTTGTCACGGTCTGTTTCCTGGCGACCATGAAAAGATGTATGACATCATTATAGCCGAAAAATGAATAAAGGATGATCAAAGGAAAATCATAACTCTCTCTCTCTCTCTATTTCTTTCTATCTATCTATCTATCTATCTATATGTTTATCTATATATATATATATATATATATATATATATATATATATATATATATATATATATATATATATATATGTGTGTGTGTGTGGATATATATATATATATATATATATATATATATGTACGAAAAATATGAATACAAACACAAGCGTAGGCAACCATATCCACACACACAGAGTGGGGATATAAAGAATCGCAAAGTAGACGCGAACTAATAAAAATGGTCAACGAAACGTATTTCAAACGGAAAGAATTTAGAGCTTCTTTTTTTTTCATGGACGCTGTATGGACAAAAGTATAACAATGAAAAAGCAACCGTCGCCTCATACTGTATCAGCAGTAGTTGTGGCACATTTGGTCAGAGAGATTGAACAGACTAGGACAGACATCAACAGCCTGGCAGTGATTTCTAGATATAATAGATAAAAAGAGGCATGCCTTCTTAATGGACGCGAGTACACACACACACACGCACACACACACACATATATATATATATATATATATATATACGAACATGCACACACACACATATATATACGAACATGCACACACACACACATATATATATATATATATACGAACATGCACACACACACACACATATATATATATATATATATATATGTAATTGTGTATTTGGGAAGCAGTCCCTCTCTTATACAAGTTTCATTAAAAACGACTTACATTCTATTGTGGCTAAGATTTTATTTTTATTTTTTCACGTTTTCTTATAAATTTCTTATTTTCTGGACCTAAATTATATAGAAATTGTTCAAATGTTTTGTATGTTCGAGCGCTTTCGGCTATCCTTTTAGCCATTATCAAAGATGAATTTTAATTTAATTTTAGCTGAATGTATGGCCGTATTCATAGTTGATATTATTGAGTGTTGTTATTTTTGTTACTTTTTTATTAATAATGCTTCTATTATTTTTAGTCGTTTCTTTTTTTACATGTGGATGAGGCTATTTGTATCATCGACGAATATGTTGCGGATAGAATTTGAGAGGTTTCCATGCGTAATTAAATGAGACCTAATTAAAACTAATATACACGAAAAAAAATAAATAAAATAATTAATCGCTGTAACTTGTCAGTCGTTTTTAATGAAATTTGTATACCCCCACATATATATATATATATATATATATATATATATATATATATATATATATTAATGAATATATATATTATACCTCACCGGTTGCACGTCTCGGAGTTTCATGCACAACGCAATCTTCAGGAATTCAATGAGGAACTTTAAATGTTCTGTGTATAGACTGACCGTTACGTAATATCCTGAGTATAGACCGATCGTTACCTAATTTAAATTTGAATTAAAATATCTCGTCACCACAATGTTAGTGTATTCATATATTATATGGGGATTACACTTTTTTATTTTTAAAAATATATTTGGCATTTAAAATAAACGGGATTTATCGTTATTATTATAAAACTCTGTGAACATTGCTTGCGTGTTTGCCAGAAGTCTTATATAGAGGGTGGATGAAAGAAAGATATAAATTTATTATCGTGTAGGAAGGACGGAGAGAAGGAAATGGTGTGTGTTCGTCTCAGTGACTTAATTTGACATCCAGATTGTGGACATAAATGTAACCATTTATGTCCGTTTTTCACCTCTCTCTCTCTCTCTCTCTCTCTCTCTCTTTCGCTCGCTCTCTCTTTCGCGTCTTTCTTTCTCTCTCTTTTCACTTCTGTCTTTCCACCCCTCTCTTTCCACTCCTCTCTTTCCATCACTCTCTTTCCACTTCTCTCTTTTCACTTCTCTCTTTCCATTCCTCTCTTTCCATTCCTCTCTTTTCACTTCTCTCTTTCCACCTACGAGATCTCGTGCGTGCTTATTTATATTTCAACTTTCTTTAAACAAAAGATATTTTCAAGTGAATATGATTTTAAAATATTTTCTGCCATATTAAAATACGAGTTGTTTATACAGTAAGTACTCTTTTATTTCAACTTTCTTCAAACAGACAATATTTTAATGTTGAAATCAACTTCAATGTTTTATAACCTGAACTGTCAGTGACCCAACGGGTCACGGGTAGTCTAGTATATATATAAATATGTAAAAAATAATTTAGACTTGTGAATATTATTTTTTATATTGAGCATAAAGGGAGATTACTGGTCCCTTTTTGAAAAAAAAAAAAACAAATATAAGACCATAATTTACTTTAAAAATTAATGTGGATCAATATTTCAGCAGATATTTATTTTTATGCTTTCATGTAACCATCAATTCATTTTTCTTGTTTAATATGCTAAGGTTATTAAATGTTTTAAGATAACTAATTTTCAGCAAGGCATAAATTACATCTATTACCTTTCCTATTGTAAGATTTGGCTCTTGCGACAATATCCCGCATAATAATGGGTGCATTACTACTATTCTTTAATTGCCAGAAATTTTTTGAAAGAGCAGTGTTGTTTATGTATTTTATATTGCCTAAAGTCATTCGATGATGGCGTTTAAGCGCAGGACATTTAAAGTTCCTCATTTAAACAGAATATAATGTTGTGGCATCACTGGTAAATTTGAGGAGATAGGGAGTGCAGGAGTCACCCTATTGCCGGTTGTGTAGTACATACAGAAATCTTCGCTATATACTGTCATCGTGCCCGAAGCCGCTATAGAATGGCTGGTACATCTTTAGACATAACTTGGTCCTGGAGGTTATGAGAGCAGCTTCGAGAAATGCTAATATACCCTCGTCGGACCTGCGAAGGATTGCCTTCCTGAAGAAACGTGTGACTGACACAAGGCAGAAGACCAGGTCGGTGGGCTCAAGGAAGTGGAGAGTGTTGGTTGATGCTTCACTTCCAGGGGAGGTTATTCTGTCTGGATCTAGTGTTGATAGATAGCGAGAAAAAAAAATTTGATGCTTGGCGAGCTGCTTCGGTATGAGGAACTTGTGGCTGCTATCCATGAGAGGGAATACGGCTGCACCCCTGGTACCGTTTGATGTTGGCTGTAGAGGATTTTCTGGCGTTTCCTTAAAGAGATTCTTCAAGTGTGTTGGTATCCAAAAGCCGAATATGGTGATGAAGGTCTGTGGCGAGTAAGCGGTGAAAGGCAGTGCATGGATTACCCGGAAATTCGTATCGAGTCGCGTCCAGCTAACAACATAGACCGGTTGCAACGTCACATCATCTAGCTGTTGCGGGCTCACTTAATGGGCCGAAACTTTTTTCGCTCTTCAGGCTTCAACGGGAGATTCAAAATTAATACAGAAAAATGTACAATAGGGGAATTGGGGTGGGGGGGATTCCTCTATTGTACATTTTTCTGTATTAATTTTGAATCTCCCGTTGAAGCCTGAAGAGCGGGAGCGAAACCGGTTGCTTCCTCCTTGTTTTTTATTTTTTTATTTTTTTAATATGTCTTGTAATATTAAATTTTATACTTTTATTTCGATCATTAAATTTTGTACCTACAAAAATATCTTTAAATATATATATATATATATATATATATATATATATATATATATATATTAGGTACCTCCACTTTTACTCAAATAACGTGTCCAAAAGATTTGGAAATTCTTGCAAAAATCAAATAATTGTCAGATTTTAATTAAAGTTTCATGAATTTTTCACAAATGAATGAAATTATTTTGAAATCTTTTGTTTGAGAAAATCTTGGTGAAAATATTTTTTTTACATATGTAACCCACCACTTAATTTCATGAAATTTCGAGAAATTAAATTATAAGGGGAAAAGTTGTTTTATTAGTTAAAGGCAGTTGTACTTGGAAAATGGAAATCATCAATTTATTTTTGTAAAGCAGTTACCCCAGTCAGCAAAAATCTGCCTTGAATCGTAAAATAAAAATGCAATAAAACTATGATATTATTTAATTAGTAAAGCTTTTAATTACTTTTATAAATAAGATTTAAGGACATTATTTTCTTAAGAAAAAATTTTCGAGGGCTAATTAATTTTTACAAGAATTGTTTTTTATTTTTTTACATTTTTAATTAAATAATTTAAATCGTTTAAAATTCTGCATTACTTCAAGGAGTTTAGTTAATATTATTATTAGGTGAAAACTACATTTATGAATAAACATTGAAAAGCTCACTAAAAGTCGTTGTACCCCAATACTTTTTTTAAAGTTTTTTTTATATATATACACGAAACGTGCCCTTTTTTGAAAGTGTGGTAGACCATACACGACATAATCAGAAAATAAGAGCTATAGTAAATTTAAATTCAGAACATTTCCCAACATTTTTAAGATTACTGAATACTTAAAAAATTATATAAAATTGGCGTTCAACCATCATTTTCTTAAATTATATTTTAACAGAGAAAGTCGCCAGACAACAATAATGAACCTGTCAACACCTCATTAGGTGATTTACGAGGTGTCGATAAGCACTTAATCGCGCTACTGTTTGTTTTACAAATCGAATTCTGTTATTTTAAACTTAAAGTAAGTAATATTTTTTTTTCAAATTGGCTTAATTAAACTGATATCAGCTAATATTTCTCAAGTAATATTTGACAAACATATATTTTATTTTTCAGAGATTTGTAAAACTCATTTATTTTAAATCATAGGTATCGACATTTATACCGAAATATTGGAGGTACCTATATATATATATATATATATATATATATATATATATATATATATTTATATATATATATATATATATATATATACCTCAATAATTTTTTATATATCAAAAAAATGTTAGGCAAATGAATGACAAAGTGCCCCAAAATTCTGTATAACCTGTTTCGTCCTCTTTAAGGACTTTATCGAAACGTTTTTGTTAATGAGTTATATGCACAGGAAGGGGAGAGGGAGTTATAAAAATACGCAAGTGACAATTTATAAATGATGCCTTTTCTCTCTCTCTCTCTCTCTCTCTCTCTCTCTCTCTCTCTCTCTCTCTCTCTGTGTATATATATATATATATATATATATATATATATAAGCATTTCACCCCAAGCAAGTAGCTGGTCATAGCTGTTGCCATGAAAGTATTTGAAAGAAAAGACAGAGAGAAGCCACATCACGTCTGTGAGAAAGTGACTGTTGACGAGATGCAAGATCAGGACCTATCACATTGCATATCCGTCTATAGATTTTGTCGAGGATCGAAATTTGAACAGCGGGGGAACCAGATCATATATGGCAACAGTATTCAATGCAAGGACGAATGGTAGATTTGCAGATTTCAAGGAGGGACTCAAGCGCGATTAAGAGAATCAACTTTATGTGTGCACGTGCGTGTGTGTGTATGTGGTAATATATGTAGCAACACTCATATAAGCGCCGATATCTGCACACACAAGCATGTCCATCTGCATATATATATATATATATATATATATATATATATATATATATATATATATATATATATATACGCAAACAGGATGAATTAATAACGGCTCGGATTCAGTTAATCGGAGAGCTGAGTTAAAATTCCAGTCGAGTTCATTGCATTCACTTACGTGCTAATAGACTTGAGAAAGGTATGAATCTACCTCTTTTCTCTCCAGTTATGGCTAAATAGCAGGACAGACGGGGACCAATAGCTATGTGTGGGGACCGATTTAGGAGAAGGAAAAACTTTGAATTCAAAACTATTCTGGAGGGTTTTGAGCTCCGACAGTCTATCTTGTCTAGGAAACACTACTGCTACTGCGGCTGCAGTGCATTTGCTGACCGTACGACCCTAATGGATTATGGGTTTAAAAATACATACATACATACATATATATATATATATATATATATATATATATATATATATATATGCATACGACGCTATTAATGTACAAAAAAAAATTTCCCAAATGAACAAAATATTTCACCAAAAAAGACAATTTTAAAGTGTGTATAAAATATTTAATATGTGTTAATAATAATAATTATAATAATAATAATAATAATTTACCTCTGTAGAGAGTATGATGACAAGAAATGGTTTCAGCTCGAGCCAAAGATGGCTGTCGAAACCTTGTAGGATTTCAACATCCAAAATAGACAGCATCTTTTTGGCACCTAAATCAGACATCACAGTTGTTGGAAAAAAAGAAAAGTAAAAATGCCTCTTCGTCAATGTGGCTGTTTCTGGTGACCATACTATCAAGGTAAAGCAAATTACAGGCTTAAATCGTACACCGACTTCAAAATAGAGATATTTTTTAATCAATTCACCCGGAGCAAGGCAATAAACTCACTAAGACGCAAAAGTCCACTGAGTGTGAAGGAATATGAGAAAAAATTTATTAAGTAGAGAGAACAATAAAAGAACAGGAATTAAGATGAGAGAAGTTAACGAATGACATTTTATATAATTTTTTAAAATTCAAACTCGAAAGCAATAAGCCAGATAAGGGTTCCAAAAGTGAAATTTTCTTTTAATTGTAACTGTCACGGAAGATTATTTTAACTTTTAAGGAGAAAAAGGCCATAATAAGTATCAGTGTCCATCGTCTATGACAATATAAACTGATCGGGAGCTGGAAAAGACTAAAGAATAATGTGGCCTCAGGATTGCTCACCAGCAGTACATGCAAAGATACCTAACCAATGCGCGATATGGCGTTACAAAAACCCCAGTAGTAAGAAACTGTTAAACAGAGCAACCTTTCTAAGCTTTGCCAACCAGTTGCTACCAGTTGGGATGTAGCAACCAGAAAAAAAGACCAACCCGGTACCTTCAAAATGAAAAGACGCAGTCATTGATCACCAAAATGTTAAGATAGTTAAACCATTAAAGCCATGAAAGAATGGATCTGGTAAACCACATCGTAAACCGGAAACAAGTTATAAACCCCTACTCCTGGTCAATAAACAAGGAAGGAGTACCAACCGGATGATAGACGAAACTATCAACTCCTACTAACCTGTTCCTAGCAGAAGAGCATGGGGCTCTTTTCTCGAGATTTAATTTCGAGGATGGTTGCCGAAAAATGCTTTAAACTCTTTGCAGACCAAGGCAGAATTGCTACGTTATTAAAATAAAGGTTGCCAGAAGGTGAAACTTTCAGTCTACTATTGGTTCAGTTATCATCGAGACATTGAGGTCTATAATGAACGCAAAATCTTGCATTAAGAAAATCGGAATAACACATCAGAAGTACCAATTAATTACTAATATTTTTTCACTTTCGATAAGAATTTTTATAAACAAAAAATTGGTTTACCAATGGGTTCCCCTCTTGGCAGCATTTTAGCTTGTCCCTTTTTAGACTTTCTTGCAAAATGGTCCATTCACAAATATTTTACCAAATAATTCTTCTTATTTTAGATATATAGATGAAACAATTTCTAAAGAAAATGGTTTGATTTTATATTTATTGATCTGACACGTTTTATTATTTAAACGTTATTCATAGTGGATACCCGTATTTGAGTAGACGCTCCGTTTATTTATTAAGCAGTATATTTATTTATTTTCATCTACTGACCTGAATATTAGAGAAAAATATGCACCCTAATAAGATTTCTCGTGTATTCAAGCCGGTAGACGAAAATAAATAAATATACTGTTTATTAAATAAACGGAGCGTCTACTCAAATACGAGTATCCACTAAAATAACGTTCAAGTAATAAAAAATATGTAGATGATACTCTAATAATATATCTACATGGCACAATATTATTCGTTCTTGTAAGTAAACTTAATAGCGTTTAAGCCGCAACAGATTTTACTTTTGAAACTGAAACTAATAGCACTTTACTTGAATATCATATTAAACAGAATCAATAACAATCTTCAATTAAAAGTCTGCAGAAAATCTAGCAACAAAAATGACATCAAACACTATTACTCTCACCACTGTAATAGAACATTTTGAATGCTTATGGGATTTTAATTAAGCGCACTAAGAATTTGCAGCCCCCAATATTTACCTAAAGAAGATATATATATTGAAAACACATAAAAACCTCCAATATTTCACCCACAATGCTAAGAGAACGTCATGCAAAATCTACAACAAAAAAGATAACAATTATAACAACAATAACAATAAACTAGATAAAAATAGGTATATGATATTGCAGCAAATTCTTAACAGCTCTTATTCAAAACAATCTACCCGATCTTAATATCAAAATAATTACAATCACATCCAAAACTATTATGAACTTGATTAGAAGCAAATATGTCCATAATAAC